CAAAAAAAACAGAACAAAAAAATTGAGACTTGAAACCAACACTTACAATCAATTTATTAGCTTTTTTTATGATCAACAATTTGTGATAATAGTTAATTAGTTAATCTGATTTCTTTATATTCAATTGGTCATTTGGTTTTTTTCATATACAATTAGTTAATCAGCTTCTTAATCATTTTATCAAAGTTTTCCTGGTTCTCTTGATTGTTAATCTAATCACTTACAAATGATCAATTGAATAACTTTTTGGGTGAAAAAAAGTTTGAAAAAAAAGTCCAATTGAATCTAATCAAGTTAAATCCAATTTTAAACAATCAGCTAATTGCTACTGTTTAAAGTTTTTTTTTTCATTTCGTTAATTATTGTTAACTAATCATTCTGATTGTATAATCGGTACTAATTATTGTTTTGTATTCCTGTAACAACTTGCGTTTAATTGTTGTTGAAAAGATCTTTCAACAATTTAGACTCCAAATCGAAACAATCGAAACAATTAACTGATTTTGTATCATCTCAGAACAATTAAGTTTCATTATAATCAAATAATTAGATCAAAATAATATGAAAAACTTTTTATCGATACTGAAGAGTTGATCAAACTTTTAATTTCTCATGGAAATTTAATTGTAACAATTAAATTCCTTACACTTGAAAATTGTATACGATAATAGTGAAATAGCCTCATTGATGAACATGAAAACAATTAAAAACAATTAAGAAAACAGAAAACAATGATTATCAATTGATAAACAAAAAATCAGGTGAAGAATCAACAATTTATTAATAGCAATCAATAAATCACTGGTAAACCACAATCAAATAAAGTATTAAAACCTTTTCAAAAACAGATCATATTAAAAGCTATTGATTTAAATTTGTAATTTATTAATTGTAAACTTTCATTTAATTGTAGCAAACAACAAAAGTAACATTTAAAAAATCAATCAATCATTTACGATGATCAACAATTAACGGTTAATTGTTGATGGAGCCAAGAAAATCGAGTCAAGTTTAATTATTATCACGATGAAAAAGTTTTTCCCAATCATAATCAACAGAAACTTATTGATGAATTAAATAGTTTTTTTTAATTGTTGAAAGGTTACCAAGGCAAATCAGGTCACAATTGATTATGATGAGGATGCAATTGATAATAATATAAAACAATTAATAATATTTCCCAACTAATATACACACTAACAATCAACAATCAAACCTTAAATATGATAATAATTTGCTTCAGTTAATTTAGTTCATACTTTTTAAATTATCTCAATCAAATACAAGAAAAAAAAACAATAATAGTAACAATTTAAATGTTAATTATCATGAATAAATTAGATGAATGAAAAGTTTATATTCACAATTGTAACAATTAACAGACGATAATCAGTTAATAATATTAATTGTTTTCTAATAGTAAGAGCAACAATTAAATAATTTGTTTTGTTTTCTCTTTACAATTTAAGATTCAATTAATTGTCATTCATTTATTAATCCGATAAGTTAATTATGTTTATCCAAAGTTAAGGAAAATCGTTACAATTAAAAGGTAACAACAATTAATGACAATACATGTGATTGAATTGAATTGTAATCAATTGAAATCAATTGAAATTCATTGAAACAATTCAAAGATTTTGCTTTGCAAACATTAAACTTGTGATTAAATTAAATCTCTGATGAGAGTTACAATTTAAATCTCAATCAATTAGTACAAGGTCAAGGTTAATTGTTGAATAAATATAACAATTTAAAAAGCAGATTAGTTTTAATTGTTGGGCCTAATTTTTTGAGTTCGTGGGTGAAATAAATGGTTAGTTAACTATCTTTGTCACTAATCAACTAATCATTTAGGATTTACACCAAAGTCCATATGATTAGATTGACACTGATTAATTCTAATTCAGTTTAACAATCTCATCATCTCAAGGTTAATTATTTGCAAGTCAAACATTTTGATTAGTCAATTGAATTGAGATTTAATCATTATCAGAATGATTATTATTTATGGTTGATTGTTAATTGTTAATAATCATCATCATCTTGATCATCAACCACACCTAATAATTTACTAATTGCTAATATTAAATCTTGTATTTGACAATAACAATTAATACCCTTGAGGTAAATTTATCATGATTAACCAGTAGCATCAGTATTTTTAATCACAATTAACATTATCATCATAAATTGTTTTTCCTTAATAATTTAACTAACAAAACTTTAATCAACATCATTGATAATCATTAAATACTAATAACAATGTTGATGGTGATGTAATAATAATAACAATCAAAGGATAAATTGTTTCTAATCACAATTAACTTTCTCTTTTGAATATTAATCGCAAACTTAATAACAATTAACTCTAATTACCTGGTAAGTAACAATCAAAATAACATACAATCAATGTAAAACAACAATCAGCTGATCATCATGATCATAATAATAAACAACGATTGAGGTTAATCAAAAACTTTTAATCAAGTTAATTACTTTAATCAAAGTGGTTGAGAAAAAAGTTAATTAGAAATTCAAAATTGCTCTTCAAGTGTTCAAGTAATTAGCTAATTACCAAATATGTAATTTAATATATAAAAAAGATGGTATCACAATTAGCAGGATTGAATATAAATTTAATTCTGAAAATAAATTGTTGGTATTAATTGATAAACTATACAACAATTAAGGTAACAATTAGCTGAAAGGTTGAATAGCAACAAGTTTGATCAAATTGTCCACCATTAGGATTAAAGGTAAAAGTATCAATCAGATGATAACTTGACACCTCTTATTGATTGTTCAGTGACACTTAATTGTGATGATGATAAGAAAGAGGAAGATAATTAATCATCTTAATCGTCAACAAAACTGATCAAAAAGTAAACAATTAAGAAAAAATTTTGTGGTTTGTTGGCAAAAATCCTGAGATTTGATTCTTGGTCTTTTTTTATGTTACTTGTTTATTGTTGTTTACGATTTGAAATGTTTGCTTTGGGACATTTTTTGTTCGTACTTTTGTTTATCATCCTCATCCTCATCATCATCTTGGTGTGACTTATGTATTGACCTATTTCCTTATCCGTCAATCAAACAAAACCGGAAGATGATTGGATGAAAATGATGAGAGGAAAATAGTGATACAGAGAGAGAGAGAAAACGATAAGAATTTTTTTCCCTCGAAATTCAATCAACAGTAAACACTCAGAACAAGATGATTTACTAATTGTAATGATTTACTAATTGTGATGATTTACCATAAATTACAATCAGCTGATTGAATCATAACCATCACCTTCAATTGACACTTTCTTGTTATTATTATTCCAGATAAATATTAATAGTAACAGAAGAAAAATTTAAGATTATTATTATATTGTTGTAATACCAATGATAATCATTGATTATCAGTTTACAATTAACGGTTCCAATCAGTTTTATACACTTAAAAAATGTTAAATGAAAACTAATTACTCAACTAAACTTGTTGATTGTTGTTGATGTTTAAATCATTTAACTGTTTCTAATTTATTGTTGATTTTTAACTTTAAACAATTTTTGTTACAGTTAACAATTTGTTGATTGTTATCAAAACGTTCACCATTCACTACTATTATTATGATTATCGTTAATCATCATAATCAACTCACTATTTATACAAATAGTAATCATAATAACGGTAATAATGTTGATAACCTCTTGAATAAACTAATTTAATCTTCTCGTAAAGTTATCACAATAATATTCAATTTCCTTTGCTAAAGATTTGATTTCTAAGTTAATTGTTGACTTTTGTTAATACAATTGAAGTTTATCATCCATTTCAATCTATGATGAGAGAGATGAGGATGAGGATGAAAAAGTTTCTTTTTCCGGTTTATTTTTCTCTATGAGTGTATGGATGATAATGTTAAGAGAATCGATTGATTAGTCAAATTATTTGGTCACAATTAGAAGATGATTAAGATTTTGATTAAGATTAACAGCTAACAACTGATAGGATATGAAAATCAAAATTAACTGTTGATCAAAATCAATTGTTATTATTATAAGTAAATGGGTGTATCCGGTTGTATGTGTGTGTTTGTTAATGACGACGATGATTGGGTGTAATAAGTAAAAACCATAGAAAACAATTAACTAACAGTGAATGTCAACCAAATGCAATAATTGAAAAAGATTGAAAGTTAATTGTAGTTAATTGGATGAACAGGATAATAATAAAGAAATAAGCAAATACAATATCTCACAATTGCAACAACAGAGCAACAAATTTACATAATACAACAGACACATAATTAGACAATTATAATTTTCACTTGAAAATTTCAATTGCAATCAACCTGTTCCATAGGTAATAAAAGAAGGAGACTAAGGGTGGGGTGGGAAGACTATTACATAGACTAAGTAACTGTGTGTTAATAATTGCTACAGGTAATTAAGTCCACAGAGAAAGAAAGAAACAGAGAGAGAGAGAGAGAGAGAGAGAGAGAGAGAGAGAGAGAGAGAGAGAGAGAGAGAGAGAAAAAGTTTTCAAAGAGAAAAGAAAAGTTTTGTTTAGTAGATTTCGGACTTTACCTGGAGATTGGCAAGTACATAGAGAGAGGAGGTGAGCACACCATCAACACATACACACACAGGTAACTCAACACACAAGTAGTATGAGAAACCAGCTCAACAGGTAAAGGTGTGGCCTGGTATTTGCTCATTTGAGGGGAACCCAAAAAACCGGTATTGAATGTACACTCGATGGCGTTGGTATAAGTGGTGGGTAATCATGAAGGAGAAACTTTTTGGTAACGTTTTCTTTTTTTTCCCTACCCCGCATACATGAAGTGCTCGCACCTCCCACTTGTTTCCTTAGTCTGAGAGAAGATAAAAAAAAGAAAGAGAAGATGATGATGATAGACAGAGGGTAAGAAAGAGAGAGAGAGAAAAAGAAAGGAAGAGAAGATAAAGAGAGGGAGAAAAATGAGAGAGAAAGAGAGAGATATTATTGGTATCCAGTTCTAATGTAACTTCGGGTGTTAGTGTTTCAAGTTAGTTTGTTGTTCCTCTAATTTTGTTACTCGAATTTACTAATTGTGTTGTTTTCTGTGTTTCTCTTTAATTGTCATCATCTAATCACTACCTTTAACCACAATCGTTAATTTTGTCGTTTTATTGATCATCATCATCATCATCACTTTAGAGTAATTAGTTAATTGTTTTCATCTCCATGTGCTCATGTGTTACAATCAACTTATTGGTGTGTTTGTGTTTCAAGTGTCAACCATTGGACTAAATCCATGAATTTGATTATTAGTTTTAATTTAAATTCTTATCAACAATTTAACTTGGACAATTAACTTTATATATATACGTTATTGGTTCAGCAAACAATTAAGTGGAACCAAAAAAAAAAGTTTTGTTTAATTTACTACAATTAAATTTATATATAGTAATTTATATAATATAAATTGTCACAATGTCTCAACTAATCATATCATTGTTAATGGTCCTGACAATTGGGACAACTGTGAGTATCAGTTAATTGTTTCCTTTGGACAATCAATAAATTAACTTTTGATGGATTAATGTTATTTTGATGATTAGTTGATTGTTTGAGACCTTTGAAAATCAACAAAAAGTAATCTATTTGTTTGCCTCATTAATTAATTGATTAGATATGATTAGTGTCTCAATTTGATTAACATGAGTTTAAATTGGCTAAATATGAGCAAAATAAATCACTAATTTGATTTAATTACAAACAATTAGGATTATTAATCATTTTCTTATAATAATGCTCATGGAGTGTTCAGTTAATTAATTATTACTAGACTCTAATCAACACTTCCTGTTTTTTTAATCAACTCAATTAGCTAACAGTAATCAGATGATTAACTTACCATAGATTCAAACATTAAGCAATTAAAATAACAACTCATAGTAAATGTAATTGATTTTTAATTGTAAACAATAAATGACCAACAATTAAACCAGAGAAAAATATATTAATAGTTAATCAAATTAGCTGCAATTAAACTTCCGGGATTTTCAATATCAAACAAGAAAATATTTATTAATACAAACTAATGACATTAATTAACATCATTTAGATATTAATTACATATTATATATACAAAAAGAGCAATTATATGATTAAGAGTAAAACAGAAATTAAGTAACAATTAATATTTATCATCTTAATTTAGTTTAATTAGTGTATAATGAAATGATGATGAAAAAAACAACAAAAAGTAGTAAAACAATTAGCGTATCACAATTGAGACGATCATTAAATGAATGAAATTAATTTTTCTCGTAAATTTCACCAGGTAACTTTGTCGATTAAAATTGAATGTGGTAACTCAATTGACGCTGCTTTTTGGGCCCACGATTTAAATAAACCAAATATGGTCAACGTTTTCAGTGGACCCAATTTCTACGTTTGGAATATATCAAACAATACCATAGAGTCCAAGCATCCCACCAACGAGACATGGACCAATTTACCTGCAAACGTTGATGCCGCTTGTTCATTTTACTTTCATAGCTCATTGTTTCACATTTTCCTCAAGGTAAGTCACCATTTACCTGTCTGATTACACCTTTCAAACATCACCATCCATTGGATATAACATACATATGATATTTCATCGTGTTAATCATGAGCATTTCCCATGTAATGAGGATGCTCATGTTTACCTTTTTTGGTTTTCCTTTTGCTTTACCAGAGCCCCTATTGATTGTGATTGTTTGATTACTGTTTTAATTTTTTTCTTGTCTTCTTCATTCAGATAATTAGTTAATTGTTATTGTGTATGTGTGTATGTGTGTGTTGGTGTTGGTGTTGGTGAACGTTATTGTTGATATTTGTTTGATTATCAAAGTGATTTGAAATTCATGACGAGTAACAAAACTGTTATGTTAATTTTAGCCACCAAATTGTTGCTTAATTGTTTGTCTGTTGTGTTTATCTGGTAAATTTAAATAGCAGATTGATAGCTAATACTAATTGTTGTCAAACTATTATTGTAAATTGATTATTATATCTCATCTTTACTTGATCACAATCATATAACTGTAAATATAATTTTACCTTCCTTGTTATATTATTGAATGAATAGAGGAGAATCAGTTGATAATTATTATATTATTATCATCATCATATCTAATCAATTTGGTGTAAAGCTTTAATTGCAATCAGAATATCATTGATTTAATCAGGAATATGAGACAGAAAAACTTACCAATTTAAGTGTGCAAAAGGTTTGATTTATCAAATTGATTACCTTGTCTATCCAATTGCAACCATTTGCAATTAGCCAGAACACAGTTAATTGTAAATCACCTTTGACCATATAATCAATTTCATTTGCAACAGCAATTAAAACTTGCAACTGCAATTCCTGTGTCTCAACCCAGACCCACACATATACAAACCTTACCTTTATCATCCTCATCATCATCTTCATCTTCATCTTCATCCTCATCCCTATGAGTTTTAAAACCTTGATATTTATGACTTTTTTTTACCTTGAAGGATAAAACTATTTAGCTAATCTTAATCTGTTCATATCATGTAATCATATTATAATTTTAAACATGATTTAAGATGATATTTTATCATTTGGATGATAAAATAACAGATATTTGAAAAAAAAACTGCTACAAATGAGCAAGTTTGTTAATATTATCCGAATGTGATTCAATGATGAAAAAAGCATCAACCAGATTATAAACAACAACAAAATGTATCATCAACATATAAATATCATTACGAGTACAAGATAATTGTGATAACTTTTGTTACCTTTTGTTGTTGTTGTTGTTGTGTTGATTTTCAAGGTAACACCCAATGTTACCTGAAGAAATGATCTCTTTACATGTTATCTCAATTGAAGTAAAGAGGCTTTTCAATTTAATCAACGTACCAAATCATATTCACATAAGTGTATCATCAAAATGGATTCTCATTGATGAGATTAAGGGGATAATCATCAACGGTAACATCTCAATTTTAGTTGGTAAATTGTTCAAGATTTTCATGTTGTTGTTAAATAATAAGTCACTTGGAAACAATGTTAATTGTAATTGACTAACATCCAGCGAGAAAAAAAAAGTTACAATTACAAAGTGATTTCTATCCAACCTTAGCTGGTTCTTGTTGTTACTGTTAATTGTTGGGTTAAATTTTTGATTCAATTAACTTATCCCAGACATTTAATTGTAATATTGTAGTTGCATAATTGATTCGGACAAATGATTAGCTATTGATTAAAGCGATTGTTAATCTTGTATCATCATCAACTGTAACTTTATTGTTTACAATGTTAAAGTTAGATGATAATAATTGATTCATGAAGATTATCAGGATGAGAGGATTAAGATTGTGAGGATAATAATGATTATTGAATCATGCAAAAATCTCATCAACATTTTCGCGTTTTCTATTAATAATGTTATTTAATTGTGATGGAAATTGATTTCTATCTGATTATATCCGCAGAAACAATTGACCTGATATCAGATTTTCATTGGAAATACAAACAAATGAACAATAATGATAATAAATGGACTCAAATCGATCGACGAAAAGTAGTAAAAAATAAAAGATTTCATCTTAATCTAAGCTTAAATCTTTTTCTCATCATCATCATCATCGTCTTATATTTTTTTCCAATTAATAAATTTATTGGTAAATTGGTAAATTGATGATAATCAAGGGATCGTATTTTTTATGTGTATTTTTAGCAATCAAACAGTATTCATTTTCTGTATATACTGGAGATCGGGTTTCAAGGCCACCCGAGTATTTAAAAAGTGATGAGGATGATTAAGAACCTGTTGTTGTTGTTGTTGTTGTGATGATGATGATGAAGATGATGATGTTGATGATGATAGCGAAAGACTTGATTCAGGCCGTGATTCAGGTAGATAATAGTTTTCAATCAATATTTAATAGAAACAGGTCATCATTTTGATTCTTTTGATTTAATCAACAATTAAAAAAAAAACTTTTTCCTTCAAGTGATGATGTTGATAAATTTTCCCTCCGTGTAAAACTATCAACTAATTATTGATGATGTTGATTGTTGATGATGATTCTTGTTGGTGTTTTTTTTTGTTTGTCACTCAGGTTGTTGTTGTTTTATCATGAAAACCTGTTGCTTGATGACATTTACATTTGTGGTTAACATGAATCAATAATAAGTGTATTTCTAATCATTAACAATCAGCTTAATTGTTACATATAAAATATCATTTGGGCTTAATTGTTGTTAGCCTTGAATTTATGTTATTTATCTCTATGTGAGTCTGGTATTAATATTTACCATTGGGTTTAAATGGATCCAAAAAAAACAAACTTTTGTTTGTTTGTTGTTAGTTTTCAATGACAATCAAATTGTAGCTCAAAATTAACTAATTTTATTAATCATTATAATCAACATGGTTAACTCAACAAGGTTACAATTTACAAAAAAAAGGTAATTTAGATTAAGATTTAAATTTTAAAATCCTTGTGTTGAGATATGATTAACTAGACCGAATCAAATCAACGCAATTAACAATTGAGCTCATTAATGGTTAATCAAAAATCCTTCCGGAGTTAGTTTAACCCGCCACAGTAATATGATTATCATGATTAACTTTAATTGTTGGAATTTTTTTTCTTCATATTAATGTGAATTTATAAGAAATTAATGATTTATGATTAATTAAATTTGATCTTGATTAACTATGAAGTTTACTAACTATAAATTATGTACTTAGAAAAGCTAATAATTAGTTGATCATTTCCGATGTGATCTTTTAATTGTAATTGATGAAACTTAATTACTTTATTGTTTTGGTTTTTTTTTTCATTTATCATTAAGTTTAATTGTCTTTGATTTAAACAATCAATATATTGATTTACATGCTAAACAATAATGATAATAATAAGCAATTTATCAATCATCATATTGTATTGTTTATGAATTTAATCATTATGATTAATAAACAAATATGACCTCAAATCCTAATTGAAAACTTTTGCTAAATTGTTGTGTGTTAATTTTTATTTTACAATTAATATATTAATAGTTAATAGTGTTACGTTGATAGTTGGTAATTGTCTTGATTGTGATTATTATAATCAATGAATTGATACAATCAGGCAATCATTAGATTATAATTGAAAGTTATATGGTTAAAAAAAACGACACGACAGTGATTAACTGTTAACAATTAACTTACAACAACAACAATTTAAATTAACTGTCAGTTTTTTTTTCAGTTTTGATTACAATTTATTAATCAATGTTACCCAATTGTTACTGTTGACAATTAACTAGTTAGTGGTAATTGTGTGAGTGTCTAACATTGATTGTAATTAAAATTAATTTCCATTTCCATGATGACAATTTAATTGATTTTCTTAAAATTTTGTTTTAATTGTTAACACGAAAAAAAATAAGTTGATTGAATTGTTATTATTGTTTAATTGTCGTTAACATGCAATCAATTAAAAATTATTAAGAGATATATAATTTAATTTGATTCGCTTTAATTACCTACAATTATTATTGAGCATGAAGTTAATTTGATTTGGTTAACAATTAACAGAATCAATGATTTAATTGTTCTGGGAAATAAAATCAACATTGATTATAGTTTTTGATAATAACCAAAAGAAAACCAGAAAACCAGAATTTAGGTTTTCACTTAACCAGAAAATTTTGTTTTTTTCCTAATCAAAAATGTTGATCATAATCGCGAAAGTTAATTGCTAATGATTAATGATATTAAATGGACATTGAAGATTCTGATTTGAAGGTGAAATTAAAAGGGAACAGGTTTAGTTAGTTAATTGTTGCTGTTGTTGGTTAATTGTAAATGATAATCGTTTACAATCAGATGGTAAAAACAATTGAATAAATTTACTGGTACATTTGATTATAAAGATATTGAGAATTAAATTTGATTGTTGATTGATTTCGGGTGTTAATCAATCAACATAATCATTCACACACCTTAATTGATTTGATAATATGAAGATGATTAAATGATTTAGATTTGGTTTCTTTAAATATTCTGATGACATTTAATTACTGATTTAATTTTTACGTGATTCTATTAACAATTAACAATCATTACCATCATTTTAGTATTATCAAGATAATTAACTGATTGTTCAAGTTAATTTAGTAACAAATAGACCTTAAGAAATTAATCAACACAAAAGTAATCACCAATTTTGACAGAAAAAAAGTAAACAAATCAACAGCAACAATCAGTTGATTGTTGTTTCCATAATTGTCAATAATCCAGTAATCAATTTCAGTAATCAATAATCTAAGAGTTAATTGTTATCAAAACTTTTTCTCGAAGTTAAATAAACTTTAAATTAAAAGTTTTCCGCTTTCATATTGAATTACTTATTGACCTTTTTTTTTGTTATCCCTTAAAACTAATTCAACTCTTATGCTACTGAATTAATTAAATTGTGGTGATTAGTTAAACAGGAATATTGAATATCGTTGCTAAATGAGCACTAAAGTTAATTGAAAATTATTCAATTAACTTTAAATTGAAAAGTGAAATCAAATTAATCAAAAAAAAGCAACAACAACAACAACAATCGTTAACATCTGATTACCTTAATCAAGGTTAATTTAGTTCATACTTTTGTTTTGTTTTCAATGTTAACGGTCAAGTAAAAGTTAATCAAGAGGCTTAAATGATACAATTGATAAATTGTGATTAAGTGATTAAGATGATGAGGATGATTTAGTATTCATAATAATATCAAATGAATAGAGCCAAAAGCAAGAAGGACAACTAATCAACCTTGGCCTAAGATTGATCAAGATAATCTTTAATAGTATTAGATAATCAATGTGATACCCGATTTGTTATAATGACAATCAAAGTAATTAATCATTGATTATCTGTTCAACTAATCATAAAGAAAAGAGGACAATTTAAATCAGGTACATGGGTGATAACTGAATAGTTCATCTTCTCAATGATAATGAATTTCTGTCTCTTTTTGATCATCGTTAATTACTAATGTTAAATTGTCCTTGAAACTTTGAAAAGAATAAGAAAAAATCAAAAAGAAAAGAAAAAAAAATGAATAGTCCAAATCACAATGAATAACAATCGAGTGTATATATTATCTGAATGGAGAAAACAATAGAAAACAGTAACTAACAATCAGAATTTTCATATATATTAAACGATAATCAAAAGGAATTAGAATTAAATTAGAATCAGAAAAACAAGGTGAAAGTTTGGGACGAGAAACAATTAACTGAGAAAAAGGATTAGCTCAGTTGATTGTGATTCCAACGGTGAAAAGTTAATAACAATCAATAAGTTTAGTTTATCGTTCGGATGGTGATGTTTCCATTGGTGTGTTTTCAAATCGTTTTAAATATTGATTAACTAATTGTCTTTCTATCTTACAGGGTGATCACTATTGGTTATACAGGAATTACGAACTAAGATCAACTGATACACTTCTTAAATTATTCAGTGAGGCCGTTCCAAGGGAGCCCGATTGTTTTACTTGTGATGTTTTAGATAATGATTTTATTGGATTTACGACTATTGGACGTAATTCCCTTGGTTCTAGAGCGTGTAAAGCTTCATTTGATGGTACTCGTTTCGTTGAACGCGAATGTACATTCAAAACCGAAGGTACCGATGACAATTTCAAGGTAGCCTACAAGAAGGCCGGTTATTGTAAGGCTTTGGCCACAAATTTCAACCCAACGGGTCGGGATTACATTTATTTTGGAAGTGAAAAAGTCGCAATTGGCATGAAAATGGTAATTACTCTTAATCTCTTACAATTAATCCTCTCAGGATCTCATGAAATTCAAGTTAATAAAAAATGATGGTTCACTTTATTGATGCTTCTCTAATATCAATAAGAATCGGTGGTTTTTTTTTACTCAGATAATTTACCATTAATTCATCGTTTTCATTTAAATTGAAGATGATGAAGATGCTCATGGGTTAGAATGGATTCTCTGTCAAGTAACATTGTTTATCTTGTAATAATTTGTGTCCCTATTAATCTAAATTTTAACTAATCCACTAATCAGGATGAAGTTTGGTTATGCTCTGAATTTCATCTGTCTGCTTTTTTTTGCCTCTTCTTCATCTTCATCTTATTCAATGTCCTTTTTTGTTGTGTGTATAACCATTAATCTGATGATAATTGTAACTGTTTTTTGAAAAGTGATGCTTGATGAAAACAGAATCATCATCAATAACAACTGAATCAATTGACAAGCTTCCAGTTTATCCAATGACATGAGAAAGTACAGTTAATCTACTTATCTGTTAATTCCCTCCATTTTGTGTGCTCTCTCATCTTTATCATCGTCCAAGAGAGAGAGAGAGAGAAGAGAGAGAGAGAGAAATGTTTAGACTTGATATCAACTACAAACACGTAAAATGAATTTTGGAATTTTTGTAAAATTGATCAATCAGATAGGAAAAGAAAAAAATTCCCCATGTAGATGCCTTTTCTCAGGTAAATTTCATGGTCAGATCTTCACAAAACACTAATATATCAACAAGAAAAATGACCCAACCGTTGCGAACTACAGAAGCTCAGACAGATAAATAGATTTTCAGTTAATCTTTTCTCAAATATACTGACCATTGGAATGCCGACCAATCAACCTTTGGATCCTTTCTAAGTCTACATCATTTAACTGAAAGTGCAATGATGTTAATGATGATGAAGTAGTAGTGAAGTAATTACAATTACAGTGTAAGAAATAACATTATGCTTATTGTGGAATTACCTTTAGCTCTCTCTCTCTCTCTCTCTCTCTCTCTCTCTGTAGGTCTTACCTTTGTTTTACATGAAGTACATTAGTTGGTGGAAATTGAAAGTAAAGAAAATGTTAGAGAACAAAAAAAGTTCTAACCAACCCCCGAAACCGGTTACAAGTCATTTTCATAGTAATTTATGTTCTCTCTCTCTTTCTCTTTATATTTCACTGACCACTCTGTAGCCAGTGAAAGCTCATTGTAACCTCTTCTCTGTATGTGAATGGTGTTTCTTTCTCTAAAAAATCCCATTACTTTAAGAGCAATTTAATTTCTTGCCTTTAATCAACCAGGTTATACCTTTTTTCAGGCCTTCCACCATCACTACCACCATTCAACTACCTTCCACCCCACCTTGACTCTCTCTCTCTCTTTGTATCTAAATATTCAAACAACGTTAAAACTGAACTTACATCATTATCATAGTTAATATAATGTATTCTTGATAATAATGATGATAAACTTGAATGAAGAGTTAATTAATTCATATGATTCAATGTCATGATAATGATCACCATGTGAGAGCGACAAACTCATTACCTTTGATGGTTAAGAAATTGAATTAACCAACCAACTAAATGATTTTGTCGATAATATTTTTCTCTCTGATAATTATCAAGTTTATTAGAGCTTAAAGAAATTAACTTAATTGTAATGAGTAGTAACTTTGATTGATAGTAAAAAAAAAGGAGTTTGGTAGAAAGCAAAAAATAATTGATTTATCAAATTGGTCAATATTATTGTTAAAACATTGATTATCACCATCACCATCATCATTGATTTAAGGTCATGATGATAATGAACACACATTAAGATGATTATAATTATGATGATTAAAAACTTTCAGGTTACTCTGATTAACTATTAACTTTTCACGTTTTCTACTTACCTGTAAAACCATAAGGTAGTAATAATCAACAGGTAAAGTCGACCATGTTTACAGAAGCATCGCTTCCTTGTTGGATGATTATTGTCATCATCATGTAATCATCATCATCATCATCATTTCTGAACGTCAGTCAACATAATTTTTTACCCAGAAAACGGGTATTCATATATATGCATTTAGAATACAGGTCAACAGGTAAGTTATCATTTCTTGTGACAGAAAAAAAAAGTTTACGCATCTTTGGTCATGCGAATAAAAATTTTTTTTCTTCACTGATTTTTTGAAGAAGAAAATTATTATCATGATTATCAGAACTTTATCTTCATTTTCAACTTGTATTCTAAACAGTTAACTCCCTTATATTCTGATCTACCTGATGATGGATTAACTTCATAACGAAATTTGTGATTATCTCGCTTCTAGATTATCCTCCTTGATAGAAAATCACTAATCCGATTTTACAATTTTACTCTTTTATCTTTTTTTTCTATTGAAAATTGATTACTTAATGTGATAAGTTGACGTTCAAATGACCACTAATTAACTAACCAATTGTTTCATTGTATTCGATTAAAAGTTAATTCAGTTATAATTGTGATTAGTTGATTGGAGATTTGTTTTTCTTTTACCTTTCATTTAGATGACTTTTTGTTTTCCCTTTGTTTCTTGTTGTTTAAATTGTTCATAATGATTAGTTAATTGTAACGAGAATTATAATTATGATTAATGTAATTCTGTTGACAAATTAAATAGTTAATTTAATTGTTGATTCAATTCTCTGTATGTGTTACCCCGTTGTCTCTTGATTTAAAGTTAATCTTAGTCTCGCTCTTTTAAATTGAATTTAACTTTCACTTGATTGTTGCAAGTTGATTAACTTTAATTTAATATTATAAAGTCCAACGAATGGTCAACAATTACAATTATATAAAATAATCATTTTGATTGTTGTACTTAAATTGTTACTTATTTAACTTTTGACAGTTAGCAAACTCGTTGTGTCAAAGTTTGTTGATTGTTACACTAGAAATTGTCCTAATCAAGTTAACTGCAGCAATTTAATTTTTCATATTATCCAATTATCATGAATGATCATCAGTTTAACAACAATTAAGGAAGTTTAAATTAATTGTTGAGTACAATATATTAATACATATAAGTAAAAAAAAAACGCTACTTGACAATTAACAGTTTATTTTTAATTTCAATTGAATCTGGTTAATGTTTGGTGATTAACTGATGGGTTGATTGTTAATTGTTGTTAGTTACTAACAATAAATGGAAAAAAAATTTACACTTGATTTACAATTGAAACCATTTTTTGTCCACTCATTTACAGTAACAATCAATTGTTACAATACTTTAATCAGTCCAATATTCAATTTGATTAACTTTGATTTTTTTTCCCTAATGTTTGTTACCTAACAACAATCAGCAAAAACTTTGCTTAATTGTTGAATATCCGTTTACTGGTGATTAAAAGTGCTCAATTGATCAGGTTGAAAGCATTTAAACATGACAATTAGTTAACATACCTGTTAACAATCATCATCATCATCATGTAATCATCAATGAAGTGATAACCTCTCTGGGCAATGTTAACACACTATGAATCTATTGGGTGTAATGATCACACCCAACAACAGAAAATAGTGGATGAGTTTTCCCAAACAATTTACTAATTGTTAAGGTTACAATTATATACTAACATACATGAAAATTACCAAAAAATCGTATACATATTTACCTGTTGATTGTTAACAATATCATTTGTATATTGATATTAATTGTTGGTTTAATTGTTTCTCTTCCCGGTTCTAAATATGATCCTATTCCCACCCAAATGAATGAAAAAAACCTCCTACACAATAATGATAATAAAGATACTCAGCATGATGATGATGATGAAAATAATAATATTCTTGCATCATTATTATCATGAAGAAGAGTAAGTGTTTGGACAATCATGAGGGAGAAAAGTTCTGATCGGTTTTGTATTCAGGTTGATTGAATTTTTTATTGAGAATCTCCTGTTGATCTTAGATGATTGTTTCTTGTTTTGTTCTTGTGCTTTGGTTCAATGAATCTTCATGATATATATTTTTCATTGGAAATTCACCTTAAAGATAAAGTGAAAGACAAAGATGATGAAAAAATAGTCTCAAGTCCGATTGAATGTCCTTAAGGCTTTTTAACACTGGTGATGAGTATTTAGGATTAGTGTGGCGAAACATTAAACCGGTTTGGTTGTTGTTGTTGTTGGTGAAATGGATCAAGATGATGATGAAGATGATCATCTTTTCCTTTCTTCTTCGCATTTCTGGACATTGTTTTAAGAATTTAAAAGAAAACCGGATTATAGTGAATAATTGGTTTTCGCTTCTTTACCACATTCATTTTTCCAACGATTATCATTGGTCTTTTTTTACTTTCTCTCTTTTACCTGTTGTTTTTTTTCTATTCTTTTTGTTACCTGGCCAATTTTCACACTGATTTTGGGTCTAAAAGAGGAGGAGAGGATGAGGGAATGTTGGTGATGGAGAAGGTGATTGTTGTGGTGGAAGATGAGAGAAAAGGTTGAGAGAGAAAGAGAGAGAAATACTTGGTTAAGTTGAAGAGTAAATATACAGCCTACACATGGAAAATCAAGAGGAGATGAAGAAGAAAAGGAAGATGTCGGTTTTAGATTTTTTCTTCTTCTCTTCTTCATTTTGATTGAAAGAAGATGAGACTGATGATACTTCAGATTGTTGATACTTCAAAATGATGATGAACAAGAGCTGAGATTCTGTAAGATGAAATGTTTCCATTGGGATGATAAGAGAAAAAAAGATTTTGAGTTTTTTTTTTCTTTTCTTCTTATATGATGGTTGGGATGATGATGATAAAAAAAGAAGATGATGAAGTTTGATGGTGAAAGAGAAAGTTAATGAATATGATGATGATGCTGAGAGAGAGTCAGTGAAGAGAAACCAAGACCAGTACCTGACTGGGAAGATGAGGATGATAAATACGATGGAAAGTTGTCTTTTCTCTCTCTCTCTCTCTCTTTCTCATCCTTTGCTTATCTTTTATCATCTTCCATGATGTAAGACTGGTTCATCATCATCTTTTTATGATGATGAAGATGATAAAATGCCTATTGAAACAGGTTACCTGTTTGTTATCATTACCTGTTGCTTACACTTTTACCTGTTGATAAAGTTAACATTTTGTTGATTTGATTGTTTATTTGATTTAAAACTGGTTATCTAGTCACCTCTTAATTGCTTTAATCAATAACTATTAATACATAATATTTATAATATTAAATCAGATATTAAATGATAATTGAAATGTTACCTTAACAAATTGTGGGTTAATTGAGTTACCATATTTATGATTAAATCTAATTATAAATCAAATGTTAAACCTCTGGTTGATTAGTCCTTTCCAATCAGATTTATATCAATGTGAACAATTAGTGAAAAATTAACTGATTGCTTAGTTGATTATTATTAATATTAATGATGATAATGTTTAATCAACAACAATTAACAAGCTTGAGGATGTTTATTTTGTTTGTTATGATAAAATATGAAATGTTGATTAGATTTAATTTCCTGTCATTTAATTTCAAGGCTTTTTTTTATTAATCACAATTAGAAATCATTAATTGTTTATTAATTTTCTGTTACTATGATTACAGTTAATTGTCTTAATCATAAATCATAATGATAATAATAATCATCCATCGGTCATCTTAATAATTAAACTTTATGGAAGAGCATCAATAAAGATGAACAATTTGTTTCTCTCTAAATCATTTAACTTGTTAATTGTTTCTCATTTACTAATTGTTGTTGTTTTTTTGAATTCTTTTACTATTTCATTGAATAGGATGTACGAATCGAGTCACTGGAGGCTTTGGTTGATTGTAAGAATCTATTATCTGCAATTTCTGATCCAACGATCATGGGGATTATCGCCTTAATCAGTTTAATCGTATTACTTATATGTATCGTTTGTGTAGCTTGTGTATGTAAACATTGTGGTAAAAAATATGAGACAGATTCTGAGGGCGATTTCACCGAGAAACCGGCGACCGCGCCGTCAATAGCGGCCGCCGCTGAATCCAATGAAACATAACAGGAAAATGAAAGTTTAACAAGAACAAAGTTTAATTATCATCAAATTTATCATCACCATTAAAACCTCAACTTTAATTGATAAAATAACGAACCAATCTGATTCTAATTCGTATCCAATCAAATTGTCGTCCATCCATCAAACTTTCAATATATTAAATTCAACTGATTGAAATCTCATCATCATCCATGACTCATTCTCCATCTTCATCTTCATCTTCATCTCCATCTTCATCCCCATTGCCATTGCTACTTCATCTGGATCATCATTCATTCAATTATCATCATCATCATCATCACCATCAGCATCCGCATCACCATCACCATCATCATGATCATCATCTTGTCTTCATCAATTGTCATCATAAACTTTTTTTATTTAAATTACCATTGATATAAATTCACTGAAATCCTAAAAAAGACTTTGTTTTGTGTTTTTTAATTACAAGAAAATGAGTACGTGATTAATTAGTGTAATCAATTAATTAAATAACTTAAATTGATTTAGGTTGTTGTTTTTCAAATAAAGTAATTGCGACAACTGAGTACTCTTGCTGATGACAATGATTAAATTGGATAACAAACAAATTGTCTTGAGTTTAAGTGATTAAGCAAAGATTATCTTTCTTTGTATTAATTACAATCTCATGTCATCCACCGAGATTTGATTACAATTAGTTGCTCGGGAAAATTGATCATAGTAATCAAAAGTCAACTTGTAATCAAGTGCTTTTTGTGAGGTAATTAAATATTTAGATTTTAATAAATGCTAAATGTATCAATCAAAACTTTAATAACTATTTAATAGTTCACTTAATTGTCCGTGTGTGAGTGTGTGTAAATTGTTAACAATTAGTTTTCTCGTCTTCATTGGTTGGATCCTTGGTTATTATTGATTGTTACAGTGATTGAAGGTTAATTTCATTGACTTATTAACCACTTCACAATTGATTAATCATAATCTCATCATTTTAATCATCTTTTTTTTGCTCTCTATCCAGTTTATTAAATTGAAGAAGTCAATTAACATCTTAATTCCTCTTGGATTTTGATTGTTGAACATTGATTGTGCTGATTCATTGATCTTTACAATCAATTTCTACTGTAGTTAACTAATCAACAACTTTTACATCGCTCTTTTAATTAGATCAACTATTCGCTATTCACTTGTTACTTTAAACACCAGTAAGTTAGTTAATTAACTTGATTAAGTTGTGGAATTGATTAATCAACGTGACATAAAACAAAATGTACAATATTTTTAAATTGGCTTTGTTTCTGATCTTTGTTGAATGTGTTCACAATGATGGTGAGTAAATTTTTTTGTTCATTTACAAACTGAATCAACTGATTAGTTGAGTGATCAAACCATCATCACAATTAAACCACTTCGGATTATCCTTGCGTTAAATTAACCATCAAATGATTGTTTCCATGATAATTATTGATAAGTGAATTGATTCCTTCCATTTGGATGATTGTGGTTAAGCCTTTGATTGTGGGTCCAGAAATGTTTAATTGGAACAATTTAACTGTTGTATTAAATTGATTGTCTTTCCTTTTTTCAAGCAGAGATGCTCCGTCCTAATTTGGATCGCTATCTGATTGCTGATAATTGTATCACTTACTTACAAAATCAAATTAACAAGGAGCTACAAGCCAGTCTTGTCTATCTTAACATGGTAATTATCAGCATCTTTTCCTGATCAATTTTAATTGTTGATTGATTGTTTTCGATGTCAATTAGGGATCGTATTTTGGTTCTAATTCTGTGGCTAGAAAAGGTTTTTCCAAATTTTTCCATGAATCCTCAAAGGAGGAAAATGATCATGCACGTAAGCTAATTGATTACATGAGCAGAAGAGGAGCCAAAGTATCAACATTTGATGTTCAGGTAATTATCGCAATTGAATTTGAAGTATCCATTCAAGAGGGAAAATAATTTGATCCATTTGTTAATATGATTGGGAAATTAACTAATTCAATTAGATGCCAACCAAAGATACTTGGCCTGATGGTAAAACCGCACTTGAAGATGCTTTGATCCTCGAGACTCGAATCAACAACGAAATTCATAAAGTTCATTACAAAGCTGAACACGAATGTAAAGATCCCCATGTAAGTATCATGTTAGATTGATTGTTTCAAGAGGCGAACAGAAAAAGTTGCAGAAAAAAGTTTTTTTCATCAATTTCTCTGCGTTTTTTTGGATTTTCATCGATTGATTAGTTGATGGATTTTCTTGAAACTGAATTCATGGAGGAACAAATTGATTCAATTAACCAACTTAAACGTTTGGTTGCCATCATCTCCAAAATGGACTCAGGGATGGGTGAATATCTATTGGATCGTCAACTTTTAGCTGGTTCCGTTGGTAAAGATGAACTTTAAACATCTCGGAAACGGAATTGATGAGATTACTCTTGATGATGATTTTGTCACAGATGATGATGATTATAATAGTTAGACTAATATATATTTCCACATGAAATAATGAATCACTTTATCCTTTCCAATAAAAAAACACACCAATTCAAACGTTACTCCAAGTGTCACTTTTTGATTGCAACTCGCATTTTGTGATATAATTAACAAGTGAATTTAGATTAACATGATTATCTATTAGAACAGTGGAATTGAAAATATATTCACAAATATAAGGATAGTTGGGAATTCATTTCATGATGAACAGAATTCACATTTCGTTTATTTTTGTCACAATTAATTACGAATGGTGATTAATTAGCAATTGTATATTATCAGAGATTATCTTTGTAACTTATTTCTTTTGGGTGTAAACACCAGAATGTCCAAATAATTATTATTATCATTTCTAAACGTTACACTCGGATTAAAAGGTAGAAAATAATTTCTAATGATTATGATTGATGTATACGTTTCCATGGAATGCAAATTGGGATGTGATTTGATTTAATTTGATTAAGATTTAGGTTGATGCGTTTTCACTTAGTTTTACCATAGAAATTACTTTTTTTCTTAAATTTTCGATCCTATTTTCAACAATATTTTCTCAGCAGTTTCTTTCGTCATCCTTTCCTTTGGAACCTAAGGCGTCCGGATTGGCCAGTGGGTCAAGTTCAGCAAAGAGATTGAACCAATCGGCTCTCTTATTGTCCTTCGTTTGATTTGACCCAGAATTTTTGGATTTGTTCTGATAGAAGAGAAAACAAAATAATAGAGAAATTGTTTAAATTATATCATCAATTAGTAAAAAGATAGGAAAATGCTCACCTTTCCTTCAGATGAGCTACTATCAGGAGCTGAGGTTGATCCAGAAGCCATTAAATTGGATGATACTTGTTTACTTAATTCCATGAGATGACTCGGGAAAAAACTGTCAATCGATGATGAGGAAGATGGTTGTGGGATTGCTTGTTCTTTGATAGACTGGATTGAGAAAATATCATTCAGTATATTCTCATCATCTGATCGAGGTTGGGAATCGAGAAGGTCTTGAAATCGTTGCTTTCTACCCGGTTCACTTGGCAATTGGAAGAGATCCATATCTATTAGCTTAACATCATCATCGTCATCGGTATTTCCAATTGGATCAATTATCTTATGGTGATTGGAATGAGCTGATTTACCACCATCAGGTTCACCGCTCGCACCATCTTCATCATGATACTCCGAACCAAAGAAAATAAGTGAATCTTTATCCGCTTGTCCTTCGGTAAGTATTTTACCCAAAGTGAAGCTACTGTTGTCCTCTTGGGCCAATTTTTTACTAGTCTCTGTTAGATCCTTAAGAAAATTAAACTCGTAGTGTTGATAACCTTTAAAATTATCCGAAATCGCTTTCATTGCTTTGGCAGTTTTTTCCCAGAAAGTGGAAAAATTTGTCTGATACAAGACTAGAGCGTGGCTGAACATATTACACCGAGAAGCACTTAACATATCAATCTTTTGAATGGTGTCCAATTTGAGCTTATCAAAACGAGCCTTGGTTCGTCTAACTTTACCCTGAACTTTGCGAAATTTTTCTAACTGTTTGTATGTATCAGGATCAAGTTGCTGGGACAAATCTTTCATCCAGAGAAGAGCAGCTCTGTAGGCAATACGAGCCTTCTCCATTTTCTCAATGGTCATCATGGTGTCAGCAATAGCTCGATACTGAAAGGTTTCCACTTCTTGGTACAGTCTAACCAAAGGATTTCTCAGTTGAATCCTTTGCTGAGCCGTGTAACATAAAGTCTTTCCTGAGGCTGTCATCATTTTACCAGCTCGAGTTTTATCAATTTTACCACATTCTTTGAGAAACCTTCCGGTCGTATTTTCATCATGAGCTAAAGTACAGAGACGATCTTGATATCCTTCCAATATACATAATAGAGAGCAAGATGTTTCCTCGATAGAGCGGAAAAGCTGAAAGAAAGACAAAGAATACAAAATGGAGAAGAGAAATAAAAAAAAAAGAATCACATTGAAATTAATCAATCAATAATCTGCAATAAAAGAATCTTCATTTCCCCTTCATGAGAACTGAGTAAAAATCAGAAAGATCTGGTTTCAGAAAATAGGTAAGGTAAACATATAAAACGACAAAAACATAATAAATTAATCAAAAGACGTCACTAATTGTAAGAAACAAGATGAACAAACACTGAGCTTAATTTTTGTCAAAAAAAAGCAAAACAAATGATCAAATCCACCAGAGAACCAATTGATTGAACTGTTACTAAATCGCCTACACGCCTGAAACTGTTTCTACCTGGAATTAGGTTGATCTTACCTCTAATTTGGCATCTAAAGGTGCATCAGAAGCGACAACACAATCATCTTCTTTGCGTCTTAATTTACTAATAAACGCTTGTTTTGCTTCCCAATAGCTTTGTTGCATCTTTAAGAAGGTTGAATCATCTTCCCTTCTGTCCTCTCTTTCAACGCATTTATCAAATTCTTGACCAGATATTCCTGGCTTAGAACTGTGGGCGACATTGGCCGACATTTCCAATGGTGTTAAATGTATTCTCTTGATGGTTAATATGGTAAATATAAGTGGAAAGAATATTGATCCAAAATGTAACACGTACAATTCACACAGAGAATTCTGGAAGATGAGACCAGCAAATGGGAACCTGTCAAGAAAGAGAGAGAGAGAGTTGAAATATATGAAATTAGGAATAGAATTTAATATCTCTAGATGAAAATAGAAATTCTAAATTAGAATAGAACAAAAATAAAAGAATAATTAAATCTTACCAGAAGAAAATAACAATAATGGTGATGATTAGATTTGCAATAGAAAAACAAAACAAATGAGAAAATCTTATTCAAGATCAACTCGTAAATATTAGTTTCCAATGATCGTAATAAAATTGATTGTTGTAGATCATTGCACTAGTTGATTAGAAAATGATGATTAAAAGAAAAATGTAATTAATTAAAAAAGATTTTAATCAAGACACGTTACAATTAGAGAGAAATAAACAAAATAAAAGCGAAGATAAAATAAATCGAAAAAAAGAAAGAAAAAGAAAGAAAAAGCGACAGTGGAAAAGAAAGAGAATTTACTTTCCCTTTCTACTTTTCTATTCTATTTTGATGAACCATATGGTTACTTTTAATTCAGTGGTGATTGAACAATTGTTGATAATTCAATTCTGTCTGGTGATTAGTTAATTTCTTTGACTCTTCTTGTTTAGCTTGATAAGATTTTGATTGTTATTAAGATGATTTAATTGATTACTAATGTAAAAACTTTATTCTTGTGAAAACGAGAATCAATTGATTGTAAAATGTTAATAATGAAAATACAACAAAATAATTAGTTAAATATTGGATATAAAAAATGAGAAATTGTGACAAAATAATAATAATAAAGTTAAATGGATCAATTTGAATGAGAAATTAATAATAATTGGATTAGTGATCGTCATTGGAAATACTGTTTTGAAAAAAGTGATAATTTCGTTTCCTGATTAACTTGATCATTATCGCCATCGGGGTTTATTGTCAATTCTTGAAAATCGTTGTTGTTGTTGGGTTGAGTGTTGGCAGTTTGATCCATCAAGACTAACATCTTCCGATAATTGATCACTGGCTCGACTTGAGGCTAAATATTGAGAAGAATATAAATTTAATTGTGATTAGAATTCAATTGATAATATTTTTTTGCTCCCATGTTATTGTTATTACCTCCAGTTCTGGGCTGTGATCGGGAACGAGATCGTAATTCACCAATGTCATCAGAATCTTCTAAACTGTTATCATCGACACTGGTACACATCGGGACACTTCGGTCGGTTTTCTCTCGAATCTAAACGCAAGTAACAATTAGAAGACAATTAATTAGTAAACCATCAATTTGGAACAAAAAGTAAAATAATCTACCTTGGTAATCGGACCATAAATGACATTCCCTTCAGTTGAAGTTGATGTAACCTTAGATTGGAAAGCGGCCATACTTTGACTCACACCATCGGCTAAAGGTTCCCTTAATTCAACGTTAGTGCGACCCTTGGCTGTTTCAGATGGAAAAGAACAAAAAAAAACAATAGAATTAAACTTGATAGAGAATCAGAGGGAGAATAGAAAACTTGAAAAGGAAAAGACAAAGACAAAGATCAACAGGTTAACCATGACACAAACATCATCATCATCATGATGGTAAAACAATCAAAGATAAACAAAAATAAGAAACAAACAAACACAAGAATAACAAGTGAATAATGTTGATAACATAAAAGATAACTTGAAATCGTTGCAAAGAAACAAAGTAAACAAGTAACAGTATTTTGAGCAGCAATAATAAGTCATTTTCTTGAGCTTATCTGAATTAGATGTTGATCTAAAAGTTATATAATATGAACGTCATTTTCCCATGACTATAATTAGCCAACAAATTAAAAGCAATAAACTAATTTAATTGTAGAATTAAAAATCACTCTTACCTCTACATGGATCATTTTTAACCAAGAATTCATTGAGACTAACCCAACCTCCACCGACACGAACCATAACCACACTTCGTAAGATACGTACAAGTCGTAATTTTTGAGATTCGCCAAACTGTAAACACGAAAAGAGAAAAATACAAACACTAATTAAAACCGAAATTCGAATAAAAATCAAACAAACAAGTTCGAAACTCGAATTGACCAAAATAAGAAAAAGAAATTAAGGGAAAGTATACTAATTACAATAGGAGAAAAGAACATAAGTTGAGTGGGAATTATTTCTCTCTTTCTCTCATTTACATACCCGATATTTGCGTTCTTCTACTTGGAAGACTTTGTATTTATCTCGGCATGAACATTGAGCCACTTGGCGGAAAACTTCATCTTTGATTATCTCCGCTTCGGTTTTGTCTCTAAGTGTATCCATCCACTCCTTTGAATCAATGTAACCATCGGAGTTTCGGTCAAAAATGGTCGCGACTTTGGACATTTCACTTCGACTGGTTGGGAATTTGGATTTGATGAAACCTTCGATAAACTGTTCATAATTCACTTTACCATCATGATCATCGTCCATCTTACGGAAAAAGTCCATAATCTTAGCCTTTTTTTCATTCATCCAATCAAGGAATCGACGTCTCCAAGTATCAAAATCAAAATCTCTTAATCTTTCCAATTCACTGAAGTAATTGTGTTTACTTCGTAACCGGATTAACCTATCATTTAGAGACTTGACCAGCTTCTGCCATCGTCCGATCAATTCAATAGCCTTTGAATGGGTCAATGAGGACAAAGAAACTTCAAGTGATTTTACTCGTAAAATTGATCGGCTTGAGGTTCGAGTAGCTGATGACCGCTGATTTTGCTGTTGGACATTGTTACCATTATAATAATCGGTGGCCACTTGATCAAATTCCGATTCTTTGACCATTACTTTTGATCTGAATGATTCGAAATGTTCAATAATCTGTTGAATGGCCGCAGTTTCATCAGGAATTGGTGTTGACTCCATGTCTTCAAGCTCTTGTTCAGCTCTACTAATCCATTGTAACAATTGATCAAGACAATTCAACTTGTCCATTAATTGATTGTAAGCTGATCTACATTTGGATGATTTAGTTTTCAATAGATTGGAAACTGATTCCCATTTAGATTCAATAACAGTTATATAATGACGAATTGTGTATTCACCATCCGGGTGACAATCAAGTAAAATATTTTGACATTCGGCAATCAATCGATCGCGATTAACTTGTTCCCTTTCAAGATCACCAAGGTAACTTTCAATTTTCTCATTATATTTAGTCAATTCTTTTTCTTCAGTTAAACTAATTGTCGAGTCCATTTTAGTGACAGAAGTTTCAATTCCAGTTAACCAGTTAACTAATTTATTGATATCAGCCTCTAATTGTTCCGCTTTTCTTAATGATTCTTTCAACCTTTTCTCCTTTAGAATCGACCTTTCCTTTAATTCATTCATTGTTCGGGTTAAATCACTGATTTGATGTTTAATGCTCATCGTTTCATCCGATCCAACGATATTGTTGATCAATTGTTCACCAAGTCGTTTAATTGTTACCAGTTTCTCTTCCTGAGAAGATAATGATTTGGACCAAGATGAATGCTCTTTGATCAATTTGGTAACAATTGAAACATCACCATGAAGATTATCAATTGTAATTTGATTTGATTGTAACCATGATGCCAGTTCTTTAACAAGAGATGAATATTTATCCGAGCAATTAAGATCAGTTTCAAGAGAAGATAAAGTTTCACTAATTGTGGATAAAGTTGATTCCCATTTAGATGATAATTCATTCAGCATTCGTTGGAAAACTGGAGAATCGCCTTTGGGACTTTTATCTTTCAAAGATGAACCCAAACGCATTGTAGATTCATAAACCGATTGTTTGGCCTCAAATGAACGGAGTAAATTCTTGTAATTGTTTCGTGTCTCAACCAATCGAGAAGAAAGTGATTTAGCTGATGATACAGATCGATTTTCAAGAGCAACTTCAGTTTCGGTCAACCAATCAATCAATGAAGTCCATTTGTCAACAAATTCTCGGGCTAATTTTAAATTTCTGTCAAGAGTTTGACCTCGATCAATGCACCTTGAAGTTAAACGATTAACTCGATGTCGTATGGCGACAAGAAGTTCCCGTTGTTTTGAGCTGGTTCCGCGTTTCTCAAGATCATCTAATAGTTGACACTTGGAACGAATCGATTCCTCTAACCTTTGATTCTCGGTCATTTGAGTTTCCAATGTTTCTGTTAAATAAGACGCTTCCTCCATCTTTTCAAGAGTAGATTCCGTCTCGTTCAACCAGGATTCAAATTCGGTCAATTTTTTCTCAAATGATCGAGCTTCGTTAAGCGCTAATTCAATCGCCGCCTGTCGCTTGTCCAAAGTCGCCAAATTGGTTGAATGTCGTGATTCCATTGAGCGAATAAGATGAACGAAATGTCGATGAGTCGTTTCCCATTCTCGACCTAAACTGACCATTTCTTCTTGGGACAAAATTCGAGACAATTCACTTAAATTGTTGGTTAATTGTTCACTTTCCATGCAAATCTCTTTAACCTCTTGTTTCTGCTTCTCAAGGGTGACAACTGAATCAGTTGAGATCGATGATGATAATCGATTAATATGAATCTCTTCTTGTTTTAATTGACTTTCAACTTTATCCAATTTACGCTGAATTTTATCAACAATGGTTGATGCTGATTGAATTGATTCCAAGCGAGAAGTTAATTGTGATGAAAGTGATTTAACTCGCTCACTGTAATGGTTAATCTCATTGGTAAATGAGGTGAATCCAGTTGAACCCGTTGACATCTCATTGACCTTAACCTTTGATGAATCAATTTTATCCATTAAATTATGAGATTGATTAATCAAACTTTTCGTAATCTCAATCAATCGGGAATCAAATGTAGTCGATGTCATTACTTTACTTGAATGAATTTTACTTTCAAATTTTTCAACATCCGAAGCAATTTGCTTAATAGTTGAACCAATTGAAGACAATTTAGCAACCATTTCCCTTAATTGTTCACTTTTCTTGACTGTTGATTGATGGATCTTCTCATATCGAGAGCAACTCTCTTTAACCTCCTTCTCAATCAAATTAACTGAAGAATCGATTCCAGTAACTCGTAATTTGGAAACAATTAAATAATCCGAATGATGAGAATCCAATGATGATTTTAATTTCTCAACAAAGGACAAAGTTTTCTCGTTAGTTAATTGATTACTTGTGACATCAGGTAAATTGGAATAATCAGTTTCAACAATATCCAAGAAGGAATTAAATTTTCTCAATGTTTCCTTTGCTTTAGTTGATTCTCTTAAACATGTTTCCAATTGATTAATTTGTTTATCAGCTGATGATCTTATTGATTCCCAGGTAGAATTGATTGTCGCCAATTTGGATCGGATTATATTGGACTCGGGTGCATGTGATTCAAGTCGACAGATTAAATCATTTCCTGATTCAATTAGATCTTCATAATCAACTTCTCGAGATTGAATAGTCTTGATTATCTCTTCAATCCTTTCAAATTCGTCTTGTAAAATGTTCAATTGTTGACTGGTGTTAATTGTTGTCGATGATTTTGATGATAATGATGTTTCAATTGTCGATTGCCATTTGGTAAATTCATTGGTTAAAGTGACAAATGATTGGAAATCTTTGTAATTAACTGTTATCTCTTTAATATCGTTATGAAGTTCACGATATTTACGTTCAATTTCATTGAGTCCATTTCGAGCCTTTAATTGTTCATTTGATGAAGTTAAAAGGCGACAAAGATTATCACAGATAACCTCACATTCACTGATTGTCGATCGATGTGAGGTCAATTTCGATTCCAATGTATTCAATTTAAACTCTTTCTCATTAACGTTGATTGTTGACGAAATTAATTTATCCAAATCTTGAGAAATTGTTTCCAACTCTTGGTCAATTGTGGTCAATTTTTGGTAATATTTAGATCGGGCTTGGTCTAAATCATTTAGTCGTTTGGTTAAATCATTTGCTGTTGATAAACACGATTTATATTGATCATGAAGTGATCGGGTTAATCGCTCTATCCGACTGTATTCAATTGAACCCCGTTCCATTCTGGCCTTACATGATTCAGCGGCTTCATCAACGGTTGACAAAATGTTCACTTGAGATGTTAGCTCATGCTTCAATGAGGTCACTTTTGTCCGTTTAGATTCAATGTTAACCAGATCATTTTCATCATCATAATCGGCTGCCAGTGATCTTAAACGTCGGTCAATACCATCGAGCCATTTTTTGGCCGCAGTGTAACTCTGTTGGAAGGCTTTAAATTCAGTTATTAGGTCAAGTCGTTCGTTGATTTCCGATACAATGTCAGCCCAGTTTTCTTGTTCATCGTCGACAAGTGTAACGTTTGTTGAGATGACGTTTTCGATTACTTCACCTCGTCGAATCCGATCAGCTGTGGCCATGTCGATGATACCTTTTCGAACAGCTAAGTCAATGGGAATTTCTTGACCGGTTCGAGGATCATGAACAGTAAGGTCAACCGATCGTTTAACTGAAAATCCACTTGTCGCAGATTCTTGGGCTTTTAAACGATCAGCAGTTTCCCTATCAACTAGACCTTTTCTTACGGCTTCTTCTAACGGAACCTCTTGACCTGTTGAAGGATCTTTGATGAAAATCTCTCGAGATTTAAGAACCTGGACAGTTTCTCGTACTAATCTTCCAGATCCCGATCGACCTGATTCCTCGTGTGGACCTGGATTAAGTGTTACATGTGATGTGGCTGATGCTGATTCCATCAAAAGTAATGGTGATGATGTTAAGATGAAAAGTCCCCGTTTAACGGCCTCTGATAAGGAATAAGTTTTACCGCGTTTAGCGTCAAAAACAAAGTATTTAACTGGATCTAAAATTTTCCGTGAAATGGCCTCACTCAAGCCTATTGGTTTTCCAGTCAGTGTATCGATAACGGAAAATTTGCCCAATCAATTTGTCGAGATGCCAATGAGTCAGCCAAAGTTGTTCGTTTGCCGGTGACCTCGTCAAAAACAGTGTCGCTTGAGGGACAGTAGAAAATGTTGGTTCCTATTTCAACAAATTCTTCATATTTGGTCATCGATGAATCCGCAGTTGTGGTACCAGTAGATGAAGATGCGGCTTGAAGATGTGGGGAAGATGAAGATGTTCTTGTTTTCGAGGTCGAAGATGTTGATTGGTACCGTTTGGATTCGGTAGTTGAAGATGATGTTGATGCTGATGACGATGCTCGTGTAGTTGGACTAACGGATCGATTTTGTCTGATTGATGATCGCACTGGAGATGATCGTGAGGAAATTGAACTTGGTTCCAAAGTTACTTCATCTCTTGGTGACAATCCTTCAGTTCGTACAATTTTAATCACTCGGGTTACCAATGAGTCACTTGTTTTAACACGATCATCAAAGGTCACAAATCTACGATCAATGGCTTCCTCCAATGAGATTTTACTTCGAGCGGCATCAACTGAATAACCTCCATGTTCATCAAGTAAACCTTTCTCAAGTGCTCGATACAATGAAACTGGTCGAGTGTTGAGCGGGAAGATGAATTTGAACCGGAAGTCGTTGTTGGGGGAGGTGAAAGACGAGCAGGGTCAACTACATCCGCTGAAATGGGATTGATTATTTTACATTTCAATGCTTCTCGAAAAGTGATTTCAATTTCACGTGAAGTTGGAAGGTTGAACATACCCGATCGAGGGTTGAGAAGCTTCTTCTTGATCGCGTCTTTAAGTGACCAACCGTCTTCGGGACTTCAACTGAACATTCGATGACCTCTTTTGAAGAGGTTGATGTGGTTGTTATCTGGTTCACCTCACCCGATGAAGGTGATGACTTGTCATCGTATTTGCTGGTTGATGAAGAGGTTTTTGTCTCGGTTTGATATGAACGAGAATAAGATGATTGTTGGCCTAATGGTTCTAAATTTATTCGAACTTTTTTCTCGCTTTCTCGACTTGGTGATCGATGTTGTGATCGACTACTGGTCATTGATGAAGAGAGAGAAGGTGCTGTGGCTGATGTAATGGGAGCTTCCGATGAAACAATTGATTCATTTATCATTTTAGGCCAAGATGATTCCCGTTCACCGCATTTTTCCCAAATTTTTGCTTCATATTTGGGTTCGGGTGTTGTTGGGCTTATCTTTGATGAAGATGCTAACGATTCGATTGGCGTTGATCGAGCGGCACTTATTTTAGATGAAGCGTTACTACTTTGCGACTCAGGGCGAGATTGTCTCCATGATCCTGGTCGATAATCATCTCGATTTATAGATCGAGTCGGTGATTTGGCCGGAGATTTATCTCGATTGTTACCAGTCCGTTTCGGTGGATCACTTGACCTAAGGGTCGCTTCAAATGAGTTGCGACTCGGCCCTTGGGTAGTGGTAATACGAGCTGGTGAAGGTGCCATTCTCTACAAGAGGAAGTTAATCAATTACAATTAACTTGAACAATTTACCAAATAAATCAAATTATTCCCTACAAGTGAAATTAAATCACAACTTAAACAACAATTAATCAAATTTAAACACAAGAAAAGTTAATCTCTCACCTTTCAAATCCGAGGCAGAAAATAAAATAAAGTAAATCCTTGTGGATAAACAAATAGTTGAACACAATCAAATTGTTCCCAAATAATTTAAACAACCGAATGAAACAATTAATGATGAGATAATTAAACAATCGCACAATAATTAAGATCTGATGTATTACCGAGATGAACTGGGATGAAACTGAAAGGAAGAGGAAAACTTTTGTTAGAAAACTTTGATTTTGTATGAATGAAATTTGAAATTCGAAGAAACTTGAAACTTCTATAAACTTCTAATTATAATTAATGATTAATAACAATAAACAAGAAGAAGACGAAGATAATTGAGAAGAAAAAAAATTCGTAGGATAAACAACAAATTTCTAAAAAAGGCTCGAATATGGGTTGGGATGAATTCGTGAGAAAACCAAAGGCATCAATGGGAAGCCCACGAATCCAAGGAAGCCGAATGATGATAATTCTCACCTTAACTCTCTTCCACCATGGATTTCCCTCCCTCTCTCATCATCCTCATCCTCATCTCCTTATCTTCATCTTCATTATCGTTTACATGTCAACAACAAGCAACAAAAAAAAGCGAAACAAATAATAATACAAACCTCGAGAAAATAAAATGAGTGGATGTTGATTAAACACTTAACCAAGGTTCGAGATTTTTTTCTTCTTAATTCTCTATATGATTAACCAATTCTAGTGTGGGTTGATTAGTTAATTCAGTTCCCCTGAATCACAGTTAAATGTATAATACTAATCATCGGAACTTTGATTTTCCCAACGGAAGAAAACAAGAAAAAAAAATCCAACAATTAAAGTGGGTAAACATTTTATTCAACTTGTTATGTGTCTAAGATGATTACTTAAATTGTTAGCAGGCTAATCATGACTAATCATGATTAACTAACACACAAGTGAACAATTTAACATAGAAGCGTAGTTAATTGTAACTTCTAATTGTAAATTGTTAACCATCATTGAGAAAGTCAATGTAACTTTTGAACTTTTTGTTTTCGTCACTTCCTTTGGATTTAAGTTTATAAGATTAAGGGAATTGATTGTCAACAATTAACTAACTAACTTCTTAATTCCTACGCATTTAGATGATCAGTATTTTACTATTTTTTTTAATACCGATGATTAAAAACACTCACTCACTAATTTAACGGACGGAAAATTAAAATCAAGGTTAAATTGTGCTGTTTATTTGGTTCGTTAATTGTTATTTATTTGATTGTTGTTAATTTAAGTTAATTCATATTTGAAGATTACCGATTCTAAATTCAATCTATTTTGATTATCAAGCTTTCGTCTTGATCTTGATCAATCTACCTTGATTGTTCAAGGTAATTTAACAATTTAGAGCGTAGGTTAAGTTAATAATAAGTCAGTGATTTAAATTGTACAAAGACAATTAAGTTAATCACTCAATGTCTCCGTTTGTTTTCATATATAAACAGAAATAGTGATTAAGATGATGAATCAAAACAAACCGGAAAGATTTTGATTACCTTGTTTTTTAATTTAATTTAGTTTAAATTGAAACAATCATATGCATGTCAAAACCTTAATTGTTGTACAATTGATTGTGATGATTAAGTTTAATCCATAAATGGTTGTATTGATTTTATTCAAGACCTTCAATAATTTTAGCTCATCATCATAACCAATTTATTGATTTAAATTGTTATTTATGTCACAAATTGTTCACTGTCAAAGTTTATTTAATTGTTAATTCATATTTTTGATTAACAAGGTTATCAATTAACCAGAAATCACTAGAAATTAAAATGATTAAACAAATTGTACAATTTACACCTACATCTTAATTTATGATTACTTTTTTGGGCTATCGTATATTTTGATTAGTTAGTTGTTGTTGTTTCTGTTTGTTAATTGTTGCTAATATTTGGTTAGCTACTTGACCTTTGATTAGTTTATTAATATTATTGTCTTACCTTGAGTGTAAAAAATTTAGACGACAATTAGTTAACTACAACAATCAAGGAAACACAAGAAAATGTATTTTTAATTGGTAACACTGAAATTCATTAATTAGTTAACTTCCTTAGTTGTGATGCCATTCGTGTATTCAATTCATCACAATATTACATTAATTACAAAATTACATTATCGTAATTGATTTTGCTGCTAATTAGCAAACAAAATAGTTAATCATCATAATAATACATTGAATGATTTACCTTTGTTTAAATACAGCTTAGATTAACCTTGTTAACAATTAACTCAGCAATTGAATACAGTAAATGAATCAATGGCAACAATTAATTTTCATAAAAAAAGCAAACCAAACTAAAAAATCAGTGTTAATTAAATTCACATAATATCGGGTGGGCAGAAAAGGATGTAAACTCAGTATAAAACTTAGCACGATTATCATGAAAGTAACTTTTTCAGAAAGTAGAAGGTTGAAAATGATGTTGACCAAATTCTTACGATTTAAAAAGTTCTGACCTCTGGGATATTATAATCCAAAATTAAGGTTAATTTTCCGTCGAAAATTGGCCTTTTCCTCCTATAAATCGGCTTCTGGTCACTTTACAGAGATGAAAAAAATGTCAATCCAAAGCTTGAGTAAAAAGCATTAGGATAGACTTGGTTTGGTTCAAATAAATTAAAAGACCTAAAAGTTATGCCATTTTTTTCAAAATTTGCCATAGTCGTTTTGGATGCTAAAAAAGGTGAACCAAAAAATCCCCATGTTAAAATCCCATAGACAAATTAACAATTAACTAAATTGCGGCGACAATTTAAGCAATTATAACATAAAAATTGGGATTCTACCATTTTCAACCTTTCTCTTTCTAAAAAAGTTACTTTCATGTTATAGCCCTATGATTTATACTGAGTTTACATCCTTTTCTGCCCACCCGATACATGTAAGTTCAATTAATGAATCTCAATTCCAACTGATTGTTTCATTTAACCTTAATATTAATAAAAATAATAAGATTAACACTCAGGAAACTATTAATATTGATTTGATTGTTAATTATAGCCCATTGGTTTTCTCGCAATCAACTCATTGCTACACTCAGAAGCTAATGGTTTCAGCACCGTAAGTAAGTTGAAATTAGAATTTGGAACAATTAATAATTAATTAATAAGAAGATGATCACATTGTTAATTTTGATTAATATTGTAAGGGCAATCAAGCAACGCAACAGGGAAGCATCAACCGATTAGTTAATCAAAAACTCAAAAGTTCACAATTAATTATAATCAGAATTCATAAGACTTCTTGAGTGTCAATTTCTAATCAATTTGCTACAAGTTAATTAAATTCATTTAAGGCTTCGGAAGTGTTAATCGAAATACTTCCGATTAAAATAATTCTGTATTAAACTTCAGGGAGAAAGGGGTATAAAAAGGATACGATAACTAAAATAGGAAGGGAGTGATAGGGGCTGAGGGTTAGTATGAAGAGTATCGAGATAGAATGAACATCAAACGCTGTATAATCTAATGCTTACTCCTGATAACATTAGTGTATCTATCATATAAGAATTATAATGTGTTACCTTAATTTTATCTGTATTGGTGTCGTGAATTAAATAACAAATAAACTAGTTAACAAAGTTTATATATCTACATTAATTATCAACTTTACTGATGATCATCACTGATTCACATTTGCCATACAATCAAAGGACAGGGTAAGTCGAAAATATCTTTTAAAGTATCTGACCCCGGTACGAGTCCTGGTCAGATACTTAGTTTGTTACTCAATCTTACAGTGGTTCATGGAGATAAATTCACAGTAAAGACAAACTATTGCTGTTTCCAATATAAAACCCGATTTTCCTTACAATATTTTCTTGAAAGGAATGAGAATCTACATTCTTGGATATTTAAATTTAACAAGATTGAATTTAGTTGACTTTGATATTTTTGATTAGCACAATTTTTTGGTAATTTGTTGAAACCGAAAGTAAGTTGAATTTTTGGTTAATTGTTGAGATTGCAATTTGAGATGACAGGGCAATTAATTAATATGATGTATGACCACCACGAGCTTTGATTACTTGGTTTAAACGCTTAGGAATACTTTCGACTAGCCTTTGAAGGACACTTGAGGGAATTTTCATCCATTCGGCTTCGAGCGCCGATTTGAACATTTGCTTGTTTTTTCTCATTGAGATTGGAACTTTACGATCTAAATGATCCCATAGATGCTCAATAGGGTTGAGATCGGGTGATTGTAGAGGCTAAGGAAGAACAAGAATCTTATTTGATTCGAAATAATTAGTTGCGAATTTACATGTATGCTTAGCATCGTTATCTTGCTGGAAGACAAAATCATCTTCAATACCCATCATATGAGCGGAATGATTGAGATTTTCTTTCAACTTACTTTCGGTTTTGTGATTTCCTAGTTTATTGGTGATACTGGGTGGCGCAGCGGGTACTGACGGTTTTTGTTGCTTAATAACTTTAGAAACAATAGATATATTTCAAAAATTTTTAATTGAGCATTTTGCTAGTATGCTTAAGTTATTTTAACCATGGTTCGAAAATATCTCCATCGCGACCGATAACTGCAGTAAGCCGTTTTTCAAAGTTTTGAATTACTGAATTACAAGTCTCTTTTTTGACAGAATTAAAAGCTGAGATTATGGCGTTTTTGAGCTCAGGTAATGTTGTGATTGAGTTTTTCCAGACTTGGTCTTTAAGAAAACCCCACAAAAAGTAATCACAAGGGTTGAGATCTGGTGAATAGGGTGGCCATTCTATTCCTCCTTGCGCATGCGCTGGGAAGTCTAAACCAATGACATGCGCACCAAAAATGGTTTCAAGTGTAGAAAAGACCTCGGCTGTTCGGTGTGGACGTGCTCCATCCTGCATGAACCATTCTGAACCATCCAACCCTCTTTGTTGTAAAAATGGGAAAAACTCATTTTGCAATAACTCGTTATAACTTGCAGCAGTTTGTGTTCCATCAATGAACACTGGCCCAAAAACACCATCAGCACTTATAGCAGCCCAAACAAGAACCTTCTGTGGATGTAGTGATCGGGTCACAGTCACTTCCGGCTTGCTCCTACCCCAATGTCTAACATTTTGCTTATTGAGGTGACCGTCCAAGCTAAAGTAGGCTTCATCACTAAACCAACATTTATTAGAATCAAAAGTGTTATTGCTGATCCTTTCTAAGATTTCAACAGCGAATTCCATTCGTCTTTCTTTATGGTCATCATTGACAGGCTGTGTTATCTGAAACTTGTAAGGGAATAGCTTGAGCTCCTTCAAAATTCTTTGAAGACTTCTTCTATCTATTCCTAGCTTTTGTGCAGCTCGACGAACAGATTCAGTTGGGTTAACCTCAAAATGCACTTCCACTATCTTGACAGCATCAGGAGTTCTCACGGTTTTCACAGCAGTTTTCATGGCTTCTTTGTCATCATGAAATGTTCCACTGCTCTGTACCTTAGCATAAAGGCTGAAAAAGAGTGAAAAAAACATTTGAAAACCGCTTTAAAACAATCCCCAAAAAAAGCTCAAAATTCGATTATAAAACTTA